ACTAATAAAGTAAACTTAATAATAATAATTTTATACTAGATACTTGACATTAGTTTAGGTAATTTCATGCCATCTCTTGGGTACCATTGCAATAAACCCAACCCTTCAGTACACTTAAGATAAACACAAAGCAACACGAAGCAGAAGAATGGAACCAGAAGATCAAACCCTGCACCAAAAACCCGAGAAGAAGAAGACACAGACACGGCTTATGGCAGATACTAACGAAAACCCAGAAGTAATAGAGCCCAAGTCTCCAGACTCGAGAGCCAGACTCAGACTCAGACTAGACTAGATATGAAGCACACAAAATTTGAGCTTCAAGACATCGAGTCCTAGCTCGCCAATGAACCCTCCAACTATGAAGTCCATGTTCAAGTACGTTTTATATCAATTTGAATATGAATTTCAATACCCATTCTTTTTTTTTTTATTTTTATTTTGCTTTTTTGTTTGTGGTGATTTTTAGTATAAAGGTTTGGAGGAAGATGGGTAGATTGAGAAGCTGAGACTAGCAAGAGAAGCTATGAATGAGTTTTTTCCATTGACTCTTGTTATGTGGCAAGAGTGGGCTCGAGATGAAGCTTCTATTTCAACTAGGTAGTTTTAGTTTTTGCATTTTGTGTTCTTGTTATTGGTTTCATGATTAAATTTTGATCGCTTAAGGTTTATGGTTAACGAGAGAAAGTATGAAGAGAAAAATTAAATGGATTCATTTAAAGGAGGAAGTGTTTATCTTTTGGGGTTTAAATGGTGAAAACGATGTTGAATTAAAGTTTATGTGACTTCTATCTACTGAGCCTTAGCTCAAATGTTGGCTTAATTTAGTAAAAGAAATGAAGTTTTGAGCTTCTTCCTTTCTATTTTTTTTTTTCGTATGTTGCAACTAGGAAGCGTGATGGTTGACTTGGGAGGTTAGTTTCGATAATTTGCGATTGTCTGATATTTTGTTGTCTTTGATTTTGAGTTCCCTCTTGTCATTGCTTTTATGGACAGCCTGCATGCTCAGAAAAGGTGTTAATGGAAGGGAAAAACAGATTCAAACATGATTGACGAACAGTCTCCAGCTAAGCGGCAGAAAAATACTGCCTAAAACCCAAACAAAGTGCATGGAAAAGAAAAGGGAGGAGTACAGAACTTAGCTGAAGAAAACAAAGTAGAAAGAGCAAACTCAAGTTTAAAGAGCATCCAAATGATCAACATCAAAGACTCCACCATTGGAAAGCCAAAGTATACACTGACAAGTGTACTTCTTTTATCAAACCTTAACTTCAGGCCAAGTAGAGATTCTCTCGCACTTCAGAGAGAGATTGCTTTTTATTCTTTTTTACGCTGGACAGGCAAATACAGAGAGATAATTCTAATGGTTTTAAATTTTTTCAGGCAACTTCTGAAGATCTAAAAAAATTCTTTAGCGATGTGATGGGGTTGGATCTGTTCGAATTCTGCAGGACAAGTTCACCGGAAAGTCAAGGGCATGACTCTCTTTCTCTCATTCATTATTTGTCAATGTTCTTTGTCCTTTATGCTTCAAATGAAAAGGGGGAAGCTGTCCACTGGACCTCTCCATGTGCACATTAGTCTTACAGTCAAATCCTTATTTACATTGCCTGACCTTTAACTTCAACATATGTACCATAATGTGGACTGTACCACAGAAATTAGCCCTAAGAAACTAATTTTAATGAGACTGGAGATTAGCATGGCTGATGCTTCGGGGGATAGAAACTGGCCTACAATGTGCAGTCCATTCTCTTTGATCAAATTTCTCAAGGGTGCTCATTGAAACTTCAATTTGATTTTTCCTTTCATGCTATCAATAAATCATTTAGTTCTTACGCTTTTGGTTTTAAGATGAATGTCCTTTCCAGAGACGATTACACAGTCTCAAATAAACCTACAAAAGGGTTGAATTCCATAATTATGGTAAAATTGCTTAATTTTCTAAGTATAAAGAGTCTAATTGTGTAAGAGCATATTTTTTTCATTTTGATAGCAAGTGATATGCTTAGGAGACTCAACCATAGTCCCATACAGACTTACCCATATTCCAGCTTGCCCTATGTCTGGAACCGTTGCACACTAATTTATAATATCCTCTGGTCGATTTTTGAAGGGCCTAGCATATGTGGATTTTGTCGATGATGCACACCTTACTACAGTTGTAGGAAAGAACAAACAAATGTTTGTTGGGAAGAAGATAAGCATTGCAAGATCAAATCCGAAGCAAAGGAGAAAGGATTCTACTGGTCATGGGGCCTCTGGAGAACATGGTAGGCCAAGTGGAATTAGGTTTTATCTTTGTTATTATGTGTGTGTGTGTGTGTGTGTGTGTACAATGCAGTCTATAGACGTTTGCATGTTTGTGTTTCCCACTTCTACATTTTATTTTCTTACTCCTTTGGGTTAAATGGCAGTGCAAAGTAGTAATCAGACTTTCAGGGAGTCTAGAGCGCCACACTATATTGCTAATGAACGTAGTGATAACATTCAGCTGAAGGGGAGGAACACATTTGCAATGCTAAAGAATGTCAGACCACTTGGTGTGCCCTCCACAAATCCAAAATCCGGGGAAGTGGAAGATGAGAAGCTGAAGTCAAATAATGAGTTTAGAGAAATGTTCCTTAAGAAGTGAGATTTATTCCTAAGGTTACATGTTACATGTTGACTAGAATAGCACAGTAATTGACAAACTTATCTTATAAAAAAAAACATAAGGTTTTGCCTTAATATGTTTATGTAAACACAATTATGACCAACGATACCTATTTGAGGATGAAAAAGCAATGGCCTTGCATCTCATGCTTGTGGAAAATGTGAAAAAATGTCTTTGGTCTGGAAAATATCTGAGGAAGAATATGAAGAATATCATCTGTATGCTTGGCCGATTAAAATTTCCGCACATGTATATTCATTTTGATTGTTTGTTTTGATTGAATATCCATATCTCATATGATTATGTTTGTTTCACTTAAAACTCTTCATGATTTTGTTGGATGCTTTCCTAAACATTCTCACATAATCGAGAATGAGGTTTTCACTTTGTATATGTTAGGTCTTGAATTAGTACCAACCTTCAAAAAAGACCTAATTGTTTCACTTTATATTTTCAGAATGGAATAATTACATAATCCCCATGATTTAGATTAAACGTTATTCTATGGTATTTGTATACATGCTCAGGATCTTGAGGTTTGGTCAAAATATGGATAATCTCTTGAACTTAAATTGATGAATAGTTAACAATGGAGAACATTTAACAAGTGAGTATTAACCAAAAACTTCTTTTGGAAAGGTAGCGGATACCTTCCTGAGAACATCATGGCTACAAAGTATATTGGGTCTAAATTTTCATTGCCTTTGATGGAAATGTGTACCAGCCATTGTTTTAAAAACCGAATCGGAGGGCAACTCGCTTTGCTGACCAAATCATGGTTCAACCGGTTCAATCGGTCCAACCGATTGGACCGTCGGTTAGACCAGTGATGTCATCGCAATGTGTGATGATGTTAGCACATTTTTAAAAAAACTTTTTTTTTTTTCAGATTTCTATAGAATTAAAGGATCTTGGGCTTTTGTGTAGCCCAAATGTTAGATACAATATAGTTTCAGCCCCATTCTACAAGAATTGAGACTTAAATTGGCCCATGACCAAGAAGTGGAATACAAATGGCCTTGGAAAACAACTGCAACATTTCCAAGGAGCTAATGCTTTGGTTTTGGGAAACATTGGAAAATTCAAAAACCAAAACAAAACCAGGTTTAGCACCGACACCATACCATTACCAGACAAAACCTTTGCTTTTGTTTTCGATGGCAACTCTTGTTCTTCTAGTGACTCAACTTCTTCATCTCAAACACCAAAACTTTGATTCTGTGGAAACAATACTCAGTCAGTTCCCTTCCTCAACATATTTCGCTAACCAGAACAAATTGAAGCTGGAGACTAACAGCCATATACAAGCAACTGTGGAAGATGAAGATCTGGCAGAGTCAAGGTTCTACTTGGACACGCTCTGGCCTTAATGACTCAATTTCTTGATCGTAAGTTTCAATCTTGTAATCGATTATCTCTAAGTCTTCCTTTTCGTTTTTGTTTTCCATTTTCTTCCTGTACATACACAAGATGTGCATACGCTTTATAGAAAAAAAAAATCATCAACAAAATTTAATGGAGAAATTTTCGAAAAGAAGCTGAGAAATCTGAGAAATTTTAGTAGAGAAACTGAGAAAGAGAAGAATCTGAGAACAGAGAAAGGAAATCGATGGAATGGGTTGCGGTAGTGCGATTGGGTAGGGTTAGGGGTTTTTGAAATCAGACCGGTTTATCCGCCGGTCCGGTTGGACCGACTGTTCATTGACTTTATCCGGGTTTTGACGGGTTAACGCGGTTTAATGTATAATGACGGTTTTAATGTTGACTCGGACCGGACACGTGACCGAGACCAGTCCGGTCCGGTTTTTAAAAACAGTGGTACCAGCTATAAGTTCTAACTGGCTCGGAGATGTCAACATGAATTTAGAAGTGATTGATGATGATGAACGGGGCTTCTCTTCATTGAACTTGCAAAATTAGAATTCCATTTGGGTAGAACATTTCAGTTTCATGAGATGAGCAAGCAAATTTAATGGTAGCAGGCAACTGATGTTAATTTGCTTGATGTTTCATTCCAGGTCAGTCTTGTAGGTAGGCAGTTGCTTAATTTGTTGTTAAACAGAGATCCTGCAGATCGTTTAGGATCAAATAGTGGTGCCAATGAAATTAAACAACATCCTTTCTTCAACGGAATCAATTGGCCTCTGAATTCTGATTCTCACCATGGTAGGAGAGGACTACTTGCATTTTACCATATTGAATTCTCAAACAGCAAATGATTTAATATCGAATGACAACACCATTGTTGTCAAAATCTGCTCTTAATCAAAGTGGTATCTTTTGGTAATTTAAAGTATATAAGAGATAATCATTCAAAAAGAACATGTAATATATATCAAGAATATAGCAAAATCAACGATTCACTAACAAAATATACTGTTGCTTTGCAAATTACAGCAAGAAATACAGGCAAATGTTCCAGTCGTATAGTGTCTTTACATTAAAAGGCTTGGATCAGCTGTATAGATGCATCAGCCAAATTTATCACACTGTTATACGCAAATCTGATGAGCAACAAAGTATACAATTCTTGCGAGATCCTTACCGTGCAATTCAGCTCTTGACACGGAAATTTGAGATGAAATTGAATACAAATAGCACTTCAAAGTAGACCAAAACATGCACAACCACAATTATGTTACCCTACTTGGTGGCCTGTGCGATTATATTACTTATTGAACCGGCCTGTTCTTTTGCAGTCTCCACCAATGAGTCCTACAACATAAAAAAGATGATACACTGAAAAATTAAAAAATATATGAAAAACTGACGACCAAAACCCACTGTGACCAAGAAAAAGAAATTATACCTGAGCAGCTATTAGACGTGCAACTGTTTTCTTGCTTGACTCTTGAAGTTCACCGGCAATCAAGAGTTCATCCAAAATATAATAGGCCTATAACATAAACGACTGTCAGCAATTAGCAAAGACACAGATTTTGGCATCCATGCAATATAAACTGATCTACGCTATATAAGCAAGAGGGCATTAAATTAATAAGGTATTTTGGGCAGTCACTTATTGCATCAATCACCATTTATGATATAAAAAAAAAAAAAACCCTTTCAGAAAGGAAAATCCCAATTGCAAAACAAGCCCATTGCAACATACCTTGTGAAAGTTGAAGATCAAGTCCAGCTCACAGACCTGGAAGCAAAATTAGATTACCACAAACGTCAGTTTCTATACCAATCAAATGGAAATATACACTTTAATGCACTTAGTGATCTTATACAAAGTAAAGTCAACTTCACTCACACTTCCAAAGTATCTGTCAAGAATCTCAACATAATGATGAATTATTTCAAGGACCTCTAATTCATTGTCATCCTGATCAATGCACATGCAGAAGTATAGACTAGCATATCTGCAAAACATATTCATTGGAACCAACTCAGTTGATCATCTCTATGATGGCGAAATGCATTCATTGAGTCACAAATACTGTCATATTTGCATATACCTTTTACAAACAACTTTGTATCCTCTCCATTCCACAAAATTACAGAGCTTGGGTCCTCGTGAAAGAATGACTCCACTGAGCTCACGAATAACCTTCTCAGACAAAGCAACAGTTCAAACAAATCATCAATGTAACCACAGCTGTTATAATAAGTTGAGAAAATGATACCATAACGATCATTTATCCAACACAAGGCAGGTCCTTTGAAAATAAAATTAATAATTAAGATCTAAAGAGAGAATATCTGAGCGACATGGATTTAAAACCATACCTTAGTTCGTTCCTTTTGTGAATAAGGAGAATACCATTTAGTCAACCGGACTTTTCCTTGTCGGCTAATAAGAAGCACAAATTGAATCTGAAACATATTGAAGATAAAAAATTATAGAACATCAGCAAAGTAAAACCATTAATCTTCATTTGGCATTGGCAACATAAAATGAACAAGATTTAATAAATCAGAGTTGTCGGACATAGCACAACCTAAATGATTGTGGCATATCCAATAAATAACTTGTAAATGAATACACATCATTTCAATCATTATTTTGAAAGCTATTATTGGCAATGGTTCAGGCCCTCAACCAAGCTCAACAGCCTTAATCTCAACATCCAAGGTTGCTCTTCAACACATGTCAACTTTATAACACACTATCAAATTCTTAGCAATCAAAACATGTTACTTCAATCCATGATTTATTTCCCTCAACATCCATTGCCATTTCCAGAAAATTTTGATACGGTTTTTGTTTGTAATTAACTTAAGCCAAGCTGTGAGAAAATGACATAAAACATGGGTCATTTTCCAAGATAAGCCAAATGCTTAGTATTGATAAGCTAGTTCGAGCTTAAATTTCACCATTCTGACATACAAAGACTCCATGCTAACTAGTTTTCTATCAAATGCTTCCATATCCCTCTAATACAATTATTCAAAATTTCGTCTTCCTAACTTTCTGTTTAAAAACAAGGTAGTTCAAGAATGAATAACCCACATGGGCAGGTCTCAGAACTTCGCAATAAATTGTTAAACTAATATAACTTTGTCGGCTGAAGACCAATTGAAATTCATAAAACTGTTATTCTACGCCATACGCTTCAATGATCTCTAATTCAAGATCTTAGCTAGGTTGATACATATATAATTAATGTACTTGACAATAAATATCACTAAAATTAGCAAACTTGCACGTTCAGAGAGCAACGAATCCATCGTAATCCCAAACACTCAAACATTCATCTAATAATGCGATTACAAAGTCAGATCTAACGGTGACAATATATCACCTAAATATAAAAATCAGTCCAAGAACAATGCATCAGCTGAACCAAAACCCCCAAATATAATGTAATATTTCAATAAATGAAGAACTGCAAAGAAGTTGTTTAATAAAAATGAATAAACGCGGTAGATCTAAAGAAACGGAATTCAATGGATCAATCCTCCATTAAGCTAATGAAATCAACAAACAACGACAGTACAAATTTCACATACCATGGTTTTCCGACTATATTGACGATAGAAATGAAATTTTCGTCAATCACCAATAAATTATGTTTGTAATTTTGCTCTCCTCTCGTCTCTTATATTAATCCTCTCAGTCTTCTCTTATTTTATTCTCAATGAGGTCACCACCATGAAGATTCTAGAGCGGATTTGAAAGAAAAATGAAAACCAGAAAAACATTCGAGAGAGAAGTAATACTGAGCTAGAGAGTCGAAGAGCAGAAAACTGTTATTAATTGACTAACTTTACAAACAGAAGAACGCTGCACTTATATAGCAGCTACAAGATGAACAAAACGTCACCATATGACAATCAAGTTCTGATCTTTTATAAAACAGCCCCCAAGCTTTGATCTTTTACATAAACACCCTTCTGACTAACTTTTATACTCAATAGTCAATATCCTCCCTTAAACCAAAGTGCTTGATATTGATATTTCATTTGGCATTGGCAACATAAAATGAAAAAGATTTAATAAATCAGAGCTGTCAGACATAGCACAACCTAAATGATTGTGGCATATCCAATCAATAATTTGTAAATGAATACACATCTTTTCAATGATTATTTTGAAAGATATTATTGGCAATGGTTCAGGCCCTCAACCAAGATCAACAGCCTTAATCTCAGCATCCAAGGTTGCTCTTCAACGCATGTCAACTTTATAACACTATAAAATTCTTAGCAATCAAAATATGTTCCTTCAATCCATGATTTATTTCCCTCAACATCCACTGTCATTTCCAGAAAATTTAGATCTGGTTTTTTGTTTGTAGTCAACTTAAGCCATACTGTGAGAGAATGACATAAAACATGGGTCATTTTCCAAGATAAGCCAAATGTATAGTATTGATAAGCCAGTTCCAGCTGAAAGTTTACCATTCTGACATACAAAGCCTCCATGCTAACTAGTTTTCTATCAAATGCATCCCTATCCCTCTTATACAATTATTCAAAAAGTCGTCTTCCTAACTTACTGATTAAAAACAAGGTAATTCAAGAACGAATAACCCACATGGGCAGGTCTCAGAACTTCGTAATAAATTGCTAAACTAATACAGCTTTGCCAGTTGAACGCCAATTAAAATTCATAAAACTGTTATTCTACGCCATACGATTCAGTGATCTCTAATTCAAGATCTTAGCTAGGTTGATACATATATAATTAANCCAAAGGAAGGGTAAGCAAGTGGCGAAAAACGGGCCTAAGGGCTCCAAAGGGCTAGCAAACACCAACAACATCCCGATTAGAATACCCGTGGCATTAAGACTAGGTGAAAGGTCGTAGCTCGAGCCGTCCCATGCCACGTCGCATGAACACCCCTATAAAAGTGCTGGGCAGGGCGATTCTCATCACCGCCAGAGAAACAATCCTAATCATAGTCATGCGGGAGGTTCCCACACTCCGTGGGGCGGTTCGTACCACCGTGGAGGTTGTGAAAATTCCCCGCACCATTATCGCCATCACATGGCTCTAGCCATCGTGTGTCGAGAGCAGTCGAAACTGCCGGCTGAGGCGAAGAAGAATCCGACCTCCTAACTTTCCTCAATCGCAACCGCGAGGGTCGAACTCGCATGGGCAAAAGCAAACCCCAGATAGCTCCGCTGCCCCAGATTGAGGAGCTATAGCGAGCTATAGACCAGCTAAGAGCTTAACAAAATGAGCAAGGGCAGGTCGCATCAGCGTCTCCCTTTTCTCTGGCAGTGTTAGCCGCCCTACTCCCATCAAGATTTAGAATGCCCAACATGCGGGCGTTCAATGGAAATTCTGATCTGTAGGATCACTTGTATGAATTCAACAACCGTATGGAGCTTTACCAGGTTTCAGATTTGGCGAAGTGCCGTTGTTTGGCAATAACTCTAACCTCTCATGCCAAACAATGGTTCAGGTCGCTCCCAGCGGGATCGATCAGCTCGTGGCCTTAGATGAGCACGACGTTCCTAAGGCACTTCCAAGCAAACCGAAAGTTCTCAATGCCTTTGAGCTACCTCAACAATATAAGGCAAGAAAGGGATGAATCCCTCCAATCGTACATCGATCGATTCCACAAAGAGCTTAATAAGGTAGCTCTCATTCCTGAAGAGTCTGTTCGGACTCTCATCATAGCAGGAGTTCGCCCACAGGCCGGCCTGTGGAAAGAGTTACAGGCTGAGGATGATGTTTCCCTCACCCGCTTCTATAACCTTGCGGAGAAGTATCTCCATATTGAAAATTTCGTGGCGGCGCTCCACCGCCGTGACCCCGGCACTTCAGGTAGTGCGCCTGGTCGGGAGGAAAGTAGGAGAGTTGATCGCAAATGGACTACTGACGATCAACGAAAAGGAAAGAAACCGCGCTATGAGCCCAAAAAGTCTTATGTCCTGTTCCTCATCGCGATCGCGACAGAAATCAGTATACACCTTTGAACGCGTCTGTATCGGCTATTCCTGAAAAGTCAAAAAAAGCCAGCCTACTCGGAGAGCCTGATCCCATGAAAAATCCCCCGTCAGCTAGAAATAGTAAAAAATACTATCGCTTTTTTTGGGATAATGGGTATCACACCGATGAGTGCCAAGCTCTCAAACAGGCAATCGAAGACTCAAGCAAGGGCATTTCAAGGAATATATTGATGACTCCACTCCCACACAGGAGAAAAATCAAGGGGAAACAGGAAAGAAGCGACGTGATTGCAAAGGTATATGCAGCGTCAATTTGATCTTTGGAGGACTGCACCTCGCGGGGAACTTGTGAGGTGCCCAGGAAAGGTATGCTCGCGCAACCCATCACGACCCTATCAGTGTGATGAGCACGACGCAGCGACCACAAAAGGTTCGCAGGGAGGAGGAAATTACCTTCTCCGAAAAGGATGTAGTTCGATTGCATCATCCCTACGATGACGCTCTTGTGATCACGCCCCTAATAGGGCACCATAACATCCACAGAATGTTGGTGGATAACGGAAGTACTGTGAACATCCTGTTCCAGACAACTTTCAAAAGAATGAACTTGGACGAGGCCGACCTGAAGCCCGCCTCAATCCCCCTATATGGTTTTATAGGGGACCACCTGATCCCCAAAGGAACGATCTTGCTTCCAGTCACGCTAGGTAACTTTGACAAAGTGACCAAGGTAACTGAATTCTTGATAGTGGATTGCCCATCCATTTTTAATGGTATCCTGGGGCAACCTCTGTTGAGAAACTTCAAGGCAGTCACTTCGATATACCATCTGAAGATGAAGTTCCCCACCCCGATGGGAATAGGGGAAGTCAGCGGATCTCAGCGAGCATCTCACGACTGCTATGTGAAAGTAGTGTAAATGGCATGCAAAGGGAAAGGCATCTAGCGTGGCATCCCCCGACGGGCAATGACTATCAGCCAGATCGAGCCACAACCTAGCCCAGTCGAGGATAATATGGATCCTCCTATTCAGGAATGCCCTTCCAGTGGGCCAATTGAGGATCTGTTTGAGGTATCGGTCAACCAGAGCGAGCCAACCAGAGTGTTAAGGATTGGAGGCAATCTCAAGCCCTAACTCGCCACTGAACTGACCAACTTCCTCAGAGAGAATATTGATGTGTTCGCATGGTCACATAGGAATATGGTCGAGATTAGCCCAAATATTATTTGCCATGCATTGAACATCGACAGTGGAGCCAAGCCAGTTCACTAAAAGAGAAGAGCGATGGATCCGGAGCGATATGCTGCCTCAAAACTTGAGGTAGATAACCTCCTTCGAAATGGATCCATCCGAGAAGTGCTCTATCCGACCTGGGTTGCCAACCCGGTTCTAGTAAAGAAGCCTAATGGCAAATGGCAGACCTACGTCGACTTCACTAACCTTAACAAGGCATGCCCAAAAGATAGCTTTCCCTTGCCTAGGATCGACCAGCTTATGGATGCCACCTCAGGACACGAGCTATTGAGTTTTATGGACGTATACTCTGGATACAATCAAATTTTGATGTACGCACTAGACGAAGAGCATACATCCTTTGTTACAGATCGAGGGCTGTACTGTTACAGAGTTATGTCCTTCGGCCTCAAGAATGCTGGCACAACTTACCAACGGTTGGTTAACCGAATGTTCTCCGAACAGATCAAAAAATTGATGGAGGTCTATGTAGATGACAAGCTAGTCAAGTCGCATGTCGCTTTAGATCACATAGCGCATCTCGCTGAGATGTTCGACATCCTTCGACAATATAGAATGAACCTAAACCCCTTCAAGTTCTCATTCAGAGTATCCTCGAGAAAATTCCTAGGATACATGGTTAACTAACGGGGAATAGAGATCAAACCCGAGAAAATCCAAGCTCTCCTCGATATGAAAAGCTCGACCAACAAAAAGCAGGTCATGAGCCTCAATGGGCAAATAGCGACACTAAGTCACTTCATATCGAGGGCAACATATCGCTGCTTGCCATTCTTCAATGTTCTAAGGGCCAACAAAAAGTTTGAGTGGACTCCCGAGTGCGAACAGGCATTCCACAGTATTAAAGAACACTTTGGGAAGCTACCCCTTCTGTCCAAGCCTCTCTCGCAAGAGATCCTCCTCCTGTATTTTTCCGTCTCTCAGTTTGCAGTCAGTGCAGCCTTAATTTGGGAAGAGGATAGGGTCCAATGGCCAGTGTATTACACGAGCAAGCATCTGTTAGATGCTGAGATGTGGTATCCAGAAATGGAACAATTAGCTTATGCCCTGCTGATCGCTTCCAAGAAGTTGCAACCTTACTTCCACTCTCATACGGTCCATGTAATGACCAATTACCCGCTCAAGTAGGTCCTCCAGAAACCAGAGGCATCGGGTAAATTGCTTAAATGGGCCATAGAATTAAGTCAGTTCGATCTGAAGTATAGACCGAAGGCAACTATCAAAGGGCAGGCTGTTGTCGACTTCATATCAGAATTCTCATATCATCCGACCAGTGAGTCGGAGCAACAACCCAGCGAAGTCATTCAGGAAACTACTCAAAATATGTCAACCTGGAGCCTCTACATCGATGGATCATCGAACAGAAAGAGGGTCAGGGCAGGTCTTCTCCTTTTGAGTCCCAAATGGGCTTGCATTCACGGTATTCTCCGGTTCGGATTTAAGGCAACCAATAACGAGGCCAAGTATGAAGCTCTACTCACTGGACTGTAGTTGGCCAGAGAAATGAGTGCAACCACGATCAGCATCCACAGCGAGTCCACACTGGTCGTTAACTAGACTTTGGGAGAGTACCAAGCCAAGGAAGAAAAAATGATCAGCTATCTGAAGAAAGCTAAGGCTA